TAATAAAAACAACTACATTCAAAGAGCGCTGGTTGTCTGGGGCTCCATGCTAGGCACTTACAGAGCCAGTAGCTTTAGTCTTCATGAAAATGAAGGAGGCATTTCTCTGTCCCATTCTGAAACCAGGAATATGAGGCTCAGAAAGGCAGAGTAATCTGCCGGAGGCCACACAGGTACATGATGGAGTCAGAATATTGAAACTTGGAAGGAGAGGGAGAAAATCAGACCAAATAAGTTTAAGGAGGACGATAGAGATATAGAGAAGACTCAAGCACACACCACGAAAGGACAGTACGCACATCTTCATGAAAGTGTACAAAGCGTGTGTGCAAAGCTGAGTTCTCGACTAGAGTGGCCTGGACCCTGAAAGCAGGTCCTCTTTGGGGTTTTTCATCTTTTTAGCCTTATAGAAAGATGCAGGTGAAGATAAGGAATCCTTAAGTCGGCCGAGTTTCCTGGAGCCCTCCGCAGTCCCACCCTCCTCTAATCCTGCAAGCCCATTCCTGTGTCCAGGCACTCATACTCAGGAGCCTCCCCCCACCCACCAGGACTCCAGGGACTCTAACCCCCTTGCCACCCCACCCCCACCACTCACGCTTCTTTCTGCCTTCAGGACACCTACACTTACTCAGTGAGATCATTCTTTTGCAAAAGCCTGGAAGATAGGTTTTTGCTTTGGGCAGATGCACCCCAGGCAAGGAAATAGGTGAGGCTATCTTAGAATGGAAAGAGCTGAAAAGACACTGAACAAACTACAAATAGCTCTCATTCTTTTTTATTCTTCCACAAGAGCAAAAAATAAGACTCAATATCTCAATATATTATCCTGTGATTGAAGTATTCAATGCAAAACACCAAAATCTCCTTCACCATCTCCTGTGATTCTCTCCCAAAGCCACCATGCATGACCCAGAGTGTGGCATGCATTGTGTGGTTTTAAAAGTTACCTCTCAGTAGTGTGTTGTAGACCCTCAACACTTAATAAAAGAAAACTGAGTAGCAGGCACCGAAGGGGCAGTGGAGGTCAGTCATCACCTGCGGGAGAGAGAGCCATAAACAGACAACTGAACTCCTCCAAGATAAGTCTGTGATTGGAGAAATGCAGAGTGCTGAGTGGGCCCAGAGGGGAGGCCTCCAACCTATCCTGACAGCAGCAAGTGCCGGAAGTGGAAGTGCGGACGGATGTGAAGGTTGTTTCTGGGGCACGGGCTGCAAGGAAGAGGTCTGGGAAGGGAGTGGTAAGCCTCAAGGCAGGGCATGAATGCATGAGCCCCAAGCAGGCAGAGCCTTTGAAGCTATGTTTAAAAGCACAGACTTTATTCTAACAGCTAGAAGGAGACTTTTAAGAGTTTAAAGTGGAAGAGAGATGTGCTCAAGTTAGCATTTTAGACCTCTTCGTCTTCAGTATAAAAAAACGGAGTGGGGGGAGGTGGGACAGCTTATTGGAACAGCAATGATGGTGACCTGTGCCAGAGCAGCCATAGTGGGGATGGAGGACGGAGGACAAAGAGGAGAAACGCTGAGGAGATAGAACTGTTAGCATTGGATGATTGGCAGCACACTGGTGGTGGAGGTAGCGGGTGGAAAAGAAAGGAGACTAGGGGACAATATCTGACCGGAGGGGCAGGTAGGTACTCGTGCCAACCCCTGAAATAGGGACACTGGAGGAGCAGTGCTGAGGGACAGAAGGATTAGTTCAGTTTTGAACATGCTGAATTTGAGAGGTGTCACTAAATGTCTGCAGGCAGAAATGTCTAGGCCCTACCTGTTGGGCATATCAGTCCAGACCTCAAGACCCGTCTGGGCTGCACATGTGTAATCCACGATCTCTGCCTGGAGAACGAAGCCAGGGGACTGCCCGGGCCCCCCAGGGGCAGCACGGAGGATGAAGGGAGAAGAGGGCCTGGGACGGAACCCTGCAAGACCCACGAGTGTGGCAGGGCCTCGTGTTGGGGCCTTGTGCTCTAGGAATGTGCGGTTAGGAAAGCACATCTTCTTGGTCACGCAGTGAGGAAAGGCACGACATTGTCAAAGTCAAATGGCAATTGTTCTCAATTGTTATTTTTTTTAACCTACCTTATACAACACTTCGTTTCTTCTGACTTTAGCTGTATAATCCAGGGCATGTTGCTTAACTTCTAACGGCCTCTGTTTTCTCATCCCCAAAAGGGAGACAATAATAGTGTCTGCCTCACAGGGTTATGAGGATGACAGTCCATACACAGAAGTGCACAGAACGATCGATGGCCCGCTGTGTTCATTCAATAAATGTAAACTGTTGTCGTCGTCATCATGATGATGATCCTCCACAGCAATGGAGGGCTGACTGGGTGGTTCACTTGGACTTTCATGACTCCAAAGGACAGAGGCAGACAGAGCTGGGTTCTAGTCTTGTGTGACCTTAACTTTGAGCCTCAAGCTTCTTTCTTTCTGAGTGGGGATAATCATATCTACTTCACAGTGACAAAACATCTAGCAGGAATGTCCAGCTTTTTGGCATCTCTGGGCCACACTGGAAGAATTGTTGTCTTGGGCCACACATTAAATACACCGCAACACGTAATCACACACACACAAAAAACTCTCATAATGTTTTAGGTAAATTCACGACTTTGTGTTGGGCCACGTTCATAGCCGTCCTGGGCTGCAAGGGGCCGCAGGTTGGACACCAGAGGCATTTACTAATGGCTCCTTTTCTCCCCTTCCCTCTTCCATAGTTAGTTTTTTCCCTCTACCTCCTCAGAGGCATCCTACAATATAGTGCTGTGAGGGCCTGGTTGGGGGTGGGGAGGGCAAGAGGTGATCAAATATTTGCAAATCCTGCTGCAAGGACTGCTCTTCTCCAGAGTGACTTTCTCCCCTCTCCCAGTGGACCCTCTGGTCAGTGAGCGCTCTCTTGGAGTTATGTTGAGAAAGCTGGACCATGGGTCGCATGGTGGGGTTGGGAGAGGGGGAGGGGTCAAGCAAAGCTGTGGACATTTGTGGCTGCAACTTGTTGTTCCTGAGGGAAGGTCTCCCAGCTGTTGTCCTGTTGGAGCAGTTGACCTTTGACTCCTCACCACGCCAGACTGTCCTCCATGGTCACTAGGGAGATCCTTCTCAGGTGCAAATCTCTGGTCCCTGGTCTGTGGTCTGGCTCTTCCTAACCCCTTGCAGTGCAATCTCCCGCCTTCTCTTTCACATTAGACCTAATTTCCCACAGTCCCTCCCAGCCCTGGGCCTGTGCCTGCATGCCTCAGCACAGGCCGCTTCCTCTCCTGGGAAGGTACGCTCCCTGCTGCACATGCCTGTTCAGTCCCCAAGAAGCTCTGAAGTCACCCTGCCCTCCCGAGTGGGGTTGGTAGCCCCCCTCCCTGGGCCCTTCCACAGGCCCTTGAATGAACCGGCATTATAATATCACAATGCAATGTGTTTGCACATTTGTCTTCAAAGCTTCTTTAAGGCGAGGACCTATCTGATTCATCACGACTCCTCAATGTTTTTACACTGCTTGGCACCAAGGGGGCCTTTACTGTTGGTAGGATGAAGAAATGAACGGATGCAGAGCTGGACAAATGGGCAGACAGACGGACTAATGGAGCTTGTTGAGGCAGGGATGACAGCTTCACCGAAGTGAGAATAAGCTGCAGCCTTACGCCCCAACCTTTTTTGGGGGGTGAGGGGTGTATAACCTTTGTTCCTGCCACACCAAACTTTGATCCCTACCAGACTAATAGTCCTCAAATGGTAGAAGCAAGAATGGAACTCCCTCCCATCTCAACATCTCCTGCCCTAAGGTTTTTATTCACAAGGTACAATTCAAAGCAAGGTAGGGCACATCCATCTGCTGAGAACCTACCACGTTCCAGGAGCTGCAGTGACGCAGTGGCGGGATAGCCTGAAAGCGCTTTCGAAAAGGGACTGTGCTTTCAAATCCACCACTGACATTGTCACCTTCAGAAATCCCAAGTTCTCTGGTTCCCCTGGTGGTTCTTTCTGGAAGTCCCTTCGACAGCAGCTGAGAGGGAAGAGTGGGCAGCTCCCTGGGAGGAAACCCCCTTTCCTGCCAGGATTCATTGGGTTTCCTCCATGAGGCGCATAGGATGGTCCGGGGCCAAAGAAATCATACTTTGTTCTCGCAGCACTCTAGGAAAATTAGATTCAAATGGGCATTCGAAGCCCCCTGAATGGGAAGAGAGTGTGTGGAAGGGCAGTCCTGCCCCTGAGAGGAGGGGACCCTCTGGTCTCTGTTGTCACGTGTTGTCACTTCCCCCTTAGTCATTGCAGCAGGACTGGAGGCCCAAGTCTGGGACAGGAGCTGCCATACCCCCCAGAACTGGGCTGTGCAAGGCCCAGCTCTTAGCCAAGCCTCGCGCCCAGGTAGTCTCTTCTCCCGTTTGGCAACCTGCTTAAACCCAGGACGGTCACAGGGCAGGGGCAAAGGAGGACATTAGGGGGGCAAGGCAGCCCCGAGTGAGGAGCCTTAAGCCCCATGAGAGATGGTACTCTACAAGGCAACAGCTGCCAGGGGTTGGAGGGCCGGAGGGGACATCCCGAGGGGGCAGAAGTCAGCAGCAGCACCCGCCACTGCCAGCGGGGTGTGGGGTGGGCAAGGAGGGAAGGCAAGTTTCTGAAAGCACTGATGTGGCTCTTAGCGGGGGGCGTTGGAGCGGGTCGAGGACTTAGGAGGTGAGAGAGGCTGGGACCAGAAAAGAGCCCTTTGCGTCCATCCTGTTTGGAAAACCAAGACTTGAGGGTTGTTAGGGCTGCTTTGCAGCAGGTTCCTCCGTTAGGTCCCCCTTTAGGACCCCTCCCACTCCTACCTGCCCCCCCACGTACCCTTGGCCCTGGCACCCCTGCCGTGACAGTGGATGCTCACTAGCTCACTGTGAGGCGAGCGAACAAGGATACCCACCCTTTCCTAGCACCAAGGACCCTCCTAGCACAGTGGAGAGGTGCTTGGCCCTCACACTGTGCTCCTGTTCCCTAAGCCTCCCTAACGTCTCTCTCTCTCCCTGCAGTCCCACCCCCTGTACCTGTGCAACGCCAGTGATGATGACAATCTGGAACCTGGATTCATCAGCATCGTCAAGCTGGAGAGTCCCCAACGGGCCCCCCGCCCCTGCCTGTCATTGGCCAGCAAGGTAGATTCACACTCGAGCCCACATGCACAGCTGGGTCCAGCCTGTGAGGGGCCCCAGGGGCTCTCTGGCCCCTTAGAGTGAGGTGTGCCTGATTTGCTCAGGCTTTCAAAGCCGTGACTGATCTGAGAGAGTTGGAAACTCAGGCCTCTGTGCTTTCCCACTACCCAGTGACCAGTAGAACCTTTTTTAAAATGTATTTAATTTTATTTTTATTTATTTTTTAGAGAGAGAGGGAAGGAGGGAGATTGTGAGAGAGAGAGAGAAACATCGATTTGTTTTTCCACTTATTTGTGCATTCATTGGTGGATTCTTGTGTGTGCCCTGACCGGGGATTGAATCTGCAATCTTGGTGTATCTGGACAATGATTTTGGCCAGGGCCATCCCAGCAGAACCTTTTGACTGTCACCTAGGGCATGTCCCCTAACCTGTCTCCTACCCCATCACCTGGAAATTCCTGAACCGCTTCCCCTGCCCACGTCAGAGCAAATAAGGGCCTGTAGGAGGGCATTTCCATCTTCCAGAACTGTCTGCTGAGTGCTGTGCAGGAACAGAAGCCGTGACCCCTGCCCTCGAAGAGTTCCCGCTCTTCCTCCCAAGTTGCGAGCTGGTGGCCCCGCACTTCCACGGGGCTCCGCTGCTGGCAGCAGCTGTGGCCTTTCCAGACATGGGCTGTCCGGCTGCCCTGCTGCCCGGTGCCCTGTCCCTCACAGGCCCCTGCGACCCCTGCTTTAACGTCACTGTTTTGTGTGTGCTCGCCCTGTGTGCTTGCCAGTTGAGTCGTGGGACCGATTCTTTATACATATTGTCTCATTTATTACTCATGACAATCAGGAAAGCTAGACATTATCAGTCATCCCTATTTGACATGTAAGGCAAGTGAGGGTCAGAAAACTTAAGTTGCCAAGATGACACAGCCGGGAAGGGTGGGGCTGAGTTTTGAACTGAGCCTCGTGCAGTCCTCAAACCTGGGCTTTTATTCTCTCCGCTCTGTTGCCTCCCGTTCTGGCTGGGGAAGCAGAACAGATGTGAAAGACTCTCGCGGGGACACAGCCAGACTGTGGTGAGACTGTGCACGGCACAGTCATATGGACTCGAGGAACAAGGTCCTGCTCCCAGGGGGGTGACAGTTGCTGCCTGTGTCCCTGCTCACTGTCCTCAGGCCCAGGTCCCTGCGGATTTTCTGATCTTCTCTGAGCACTGTTTCCCGAACCACGAATCTCCAAGAAAAAGCCAGGATCTCGCATGACTCCTTGGGGGCAGGGGTGTGGGCAGGCTTCTAACTGTGGTGCCCACAGGGAGGTGAAGATACTCTTCCAGCCTGGCCATGCAGATGCAGAAGCAGAATCCAGGGGAGGTGGACAATAAAGAGGGGTCAGGACACACCCAGAGGGGCTGGAGAGTGCAGTGTCTGCAGGTCTGTGAGGCGCCTCAGTGGCAGCAGAATTTTGTGAGGCCGGAGCTACCCTGCCTCCAGCTATTTCATTTCCCTTGCTTTACAAAGCATGGGCAAATGTCATTCATTTATTCATTTGGTGGACAAGTACTCAGAGTTAGGCGTGTGAATGTGAGTGGAGAGTATGCACGAGAGAGAGAGTGAGGAGAGAGAGGAGAGAGATGGGGAAGGAGGGTTCAGAGGAGCCTGCCATTCCTCCGAAGCAGCGTATGATTTCACGTACCTGTGAACACTCGGCAACCTGTCGGGACCAGCCCACACGGGAGGCTTGCTTCTCCCCCCCTGGAGGAGCGCACTCAGGCCCAAGCACAGACGTTGGGAAGCAAGGATGTGGTTGGTGCTGGTGGGGGTACTGAACCTGTTGGGCCTTTGTTCCCACCACTGTAAAGTGGGACTTTCATTTCCCACCGCATTGATTACTGTGAGGATGAAAATGATGTAGGTCAACTGGCAAATGGTGCCAAAGCTAACACACACACACACGCACACACACACACACACGCACGCGCACACACACACACACAGAGGGATTTAGAGAGGCCACTGCCCCGTGACCTCTGCCCTCTTCCCCAGCCACACTCCCCCCTCAGCTTCTCACCTGGCAGCCCTAACAACCCCGCCCCTCCCGTCTCCAGGTGGGAACCTCTGGTGGGAACTGCCCCAGCCCCGTGCCGGCTCATTGGCCAGACCTAAGGCTTCCCTCAGGTCTCCACCTTTGACCTGACTGAGTAGCTACGACCAGGGATCCACTGGCCCGAAGGAACTCTGGGAAGGTAGTAATGAGGGTCTTTGAGCTACTTCCAACATTTGAGAGCCCCGTAAGCTTAACTGAAATATTCCATTTTTGCTCTTGGTTAGAATTCTAACAGTTCAATGTGTTAATACACGTTATCTCATAGGAAATGTGTTACATAATAAATGCAGCTAGGTAGGTAAGATATATTTTTTAAAAAACAGCTTGAGGGAGGCATAGGTAGGTCTTTGATAAGGAAAGTTTGAAAACCACTGACCTCCATCGGCTCTGCTCTGATGTGCTGGTTAGCCTCGGTGGGGCCATCGCCAGTGACGGACAGCTGAGACTCAGCCAGACAGCCTGGGTCTGAAGCCTGGTCCCTTCGTGTTTCCTGGACATCACAGCTCACTTCTCTAAACCTCTGTTTTCTCATCCATAAAATGGGAATACTAGTGAAACTTATACCATAAGGTAGTTACGAGAATTTAACAAGATAGTCCAGATGGAAGCCCTTAGCCTTATGCCAAGTGCATAGTAATCACTCAATAAATGTTTGCAACACACAATCATTGTCATCATCCCAGGCATTCACAGCAAACAAGGTTGTTTTTTTTTTCTTTCCCTACCATCTAGGAAACCCTCATCATAATTCTCCTGGCCTCTTCCATTCTCATCACCACCAGCCCTTCTCCCCCTGTCCAGTCACCCAGCTGCTTGCTGTTTCTTTATTAGCAACCCCACAGCCATTCCTGTGGGTTACCCAGGCCTTTATCGCCTCGCACCTGGACAAGAGCCGTGGCCTTTGCCTGGTGGAAGGAGCTGGCTCGGGAGGCAAGCAGACGGGCCCAAGCCCTGCCTCCCTTTCCACAGAGACTGTGATCTGGTGACCAGGCGCTCACCAGATCCAAGACTGAGGTCCTGGGTTCCCTCAGTGTGAAGCGGGGCTGGTGGCAATCTTGGAGAGTTGCTCTGAGGAGTGAATGAAATCACGGATGCAAAGAACACAGTAGTGGCTGACGTGGGATGACTAATGCGTAAGGAACATATACTGGCTGCCAGGCACTAGGACAAGGCTTCCCATGGATTAATTTACTTAGTCCTCAAAAACAACACTGTGAAGTAGGTCCTATTATTAGCCCAAGCTTACAGAAAGGAAAACTGAGGCACAGAATGGTTAAGTGACTTGCTCGAAGTCTCACAGGTAATAATTAGTAGTGGATTCAGGACTCAAACCTAAGCAGTCTGGGCGGAGTGCGTCTCAATAAAGGTTATATCCCTTCTCTTTCCTCCTACCCTTGCTGTCAAGCCCAGAGGATTCCCACCTCTCCCAGTGAACCTTTCCTGACTGGTTCAGCCCAGCCAGCCCTCCAGGGGCAGAAAGCACCCCCTCCTGGCACACTGCCAGGGTCTCTGGCCATGCTTCCCCGACAAGGTTTCGAGGTGCTGCCTTGGGAAAGGGGGAAACCAAGAGTCCTTCCTACCCCCACCCTCACCCTCACCCTCAGCTCACTTCGATCTGTTACGTATATTGATGATTTGTGTCGGATTGTGTGTGTGTGTGTGTGTGTGTGTGTGTGTCTGTGTTATGGGGGTGAGGGTAGTGGGGAGAAGGGCTCTGCAGTGAAAAGAGGTTTGGAAAGTATGGGGCAAAGGACAGACAGACACTGCTGCTACCCTTGGAGTCAGGTCTCCCTGCCCGGCACAGCCACTCCCAGACTTCCTCCCTGGAGCCAGGGCTCATCTTGTACTGGCAGTGGGCTGGGCCCTCGGGCCCCTGGGGGCCTGCTGAGTCTTTGGGGCCTTGTAGAGTTGCTCTGAGGAGTGAATGAAATCACGGATGCAAAGAACACAGTAGTAGCTGACGTGGTGATGACTAATGCGTAAGGAACATATACTGGCTGCCAGGCACTAGGATAAGGCTTCTTTCTTGTAGAGTAAGAAAGAAGAGAGTGTGTCACCCCCATAACACACACACACACACAATCTGACACAAATCTTCAATATAGGAAACAGCTCAAAATGAGCTGAGGTTGTAGGTGGGGTTGGGGGTAGGAAGGACTCTTGGTTCCCCCCTTTCCCAAGACAGCACCTCGAAACCTTGTCGGGGAAGCATGGCCAGAGACCCTGGCAGTGTGCCAGGAGGGGGTACTTTCTGCCCCTGGAGGGCTGGCTGGGCTGAACCAGTCAGGAAAGGTTCACTGGGAGAGGTGGGAATCCTCTGGGCTTGACAGCAAGGGTAGGAGGAAAGAGGAAGGATATAACCTTTATTGGGGCAACTCTACAAGAAAGAAATTACTGGTCTCTTTCATTCATTTTGTATTCTAGAATGTTGTTATCAGCATTATAGTTTCATGTATATGCTCTGTCTCCATAACTAGACTACGAATTGTTCTGGAGGCCTGGCTTTCCCTGGCTTGAAGCCCTGGGCAAAGAAGCTGCTCAGTCAGTCTTTGATGAGGAGGAAATGTGCAGAAACTATCACTGTGGAGAGGAAGACCGAAGGCCAAGTCTTGGGCTGTGCCGGGTTTTGTTGCTAGAAGCTGTGGGCAACCGTGCTTGCTGCCCCTGGAGGGCTGGCTGACTCTCTGCAGCTCCCAGAGCTCTGGGTTGTCTTTCTAAAGTCCAGTCTTCCGTCTCTGTCTGCCTTCCACATTCCAAAAGAAGTGCTTCTTTTCCTCCGTCCCTCCCACTTTCCCTGGGGCAGGTGGTCTGAAGCCTGGGTAGCCCCAGCGTGGGTTGCTCTCTGGCCTCCAGTCTTGCTTTTTGGATTCCTAGAACTCTGGACACAGGCACCCACTGCCTGAAAGTCCTTTTTCTTTCCCCTATTGGCCGACTTTCTCTCTTTGATCGTTTTTACAACTTTGTAATTATGGGCTAATAAGGGACCGTGGTGTTTGAACGTCATGGTAATTACTTCCCACTGTTCCTACCCCAATCCTTCAAAGAGAGAAGGATGGAGAAATAAGAACCTCTCCAGAGAAGGAAGTCGGCGCCTTTCCCTCATGCTCCTCCCGACTGGGCTGGGCCCAGGGTCTCATTCTGGGGTGAGAAACATGAGGCCTGGCAGCACGGAAGACCCAGGGCTTTCAACTGTGACTACTGGGGTAACCTCCCCACCCCTCGGCCACGTCCCGGGCTGTGAGATCAGCTGGAGGAGTTCATCTCGTCTCTCCGTGTGGCTGCTCCCATAGCCTAGCTTGGAGGGCTCTGAGATGGGATCTGCCAGGTGGGGTGGACTTCCTAGAAGGAAGTGGGCAGGACAGAGATGGAGCCTGTGACTTCATTCCATCAGTGACTCCATTCTGGATCCTGTGAATTTCCAGTCCATTAGCCCAGCAAGCCTGGGCCCAGCCTGGCTTCTCAGGGAGAAAATGAGAAAAGAGGGAAGTTACTCTTCTGACCAAAACAGGGCCCCACTTGAATGTCTCCACCACCATCCCCCAGCTCCCCAGCCTGCAGGCTGCCTGTTCGAGGGGCCCCTGGCCTTGCCGCCACCTGGGGCGCAGGTAGCAGGGAGCGGGAGCTCTGGCGGCTCCCCTGGCCTGCCTGGCAGGAGACCTGCCCCGACAGGCTCTCCCCGGGAAGGGAAGCAGAGATCAAAGCGCTGAGAGTGTGAGTAAGCCCCAGCCCTGGCTCCTCTTCCTGCCACCACTACTTGCAGAAGGATTAACTCCTTCAGTGCCTGCAGGAAGGTCCCAAAGACTCAGCAGGCCCCCATGGGCCTGAGGGCCCAGCCCAATGCCAGTACAAGATGAGCCCTGGCTCCAGGGAGGAAGTCTGGGAGTGGCTGTGCCGGGCAGGGAGACCTGACACCAAGGGTAGCAGCAGTGTCTGTCCGTCCTTTGCCCCTGTGCCTCCACCCTGCCCTCAGCTCTTATCTCCCCCACACACAGAGCCCCTAGATTCCTGCTTTTTTCTTTTTGGCTCTGAGCTCTGCTCTGCCTGGTTGGCTAGATTCTGCTTCCCCAAGCCTGCCTGTGGAGCCTTGGCTAGCATGCTTATGCACGTGCACACAGCTGTGTCCTTGTGGGAACAGCCTCTCAGGTCCCTCCCCACCTGAGTCTCTAGTTCCTTCCCCCAGGGACAGGAGGAAGGGATAACACACTAGACAGGGACTCCATTAAGTCCCTGAATTGGAGCCAAAGTAAGAGCCGGCAAAGTAAAGTATGGCGGGGGAGAGAGCCCACAAGACCAGCTGAGCCTGGGGCTCTGCCACAGAGACCTGCCACAGGGAGCCGTGTCCCAGGCACTTGGAATGTCATCTAAGCTGGCGGGGAGGGGGGGCGGGGGGGGGAATGCCCTGTGGGCCTCTTGTCAGGCAGGGCTAGACCCTCGAAAGCCCAGTTCTCTTCTGAAGCAGCTCTGCACCTCTCCGATGTCCCCCTCCCCCTCTCTGTACTGGGGACTGGTCACTCCCTGATATCTGTTCTCACACTTCTTACTGAAGGCAGACTGGTGGAACCTTGAGGGCAGGAGCTGCCTTATTTGGTCTTAACCTTTGAGCCTAGTTGACCACCTGACACTCTCATTAAACCCTTGTTAAGGGCTTGTTCCATTACAAAAGGAGGCCCTAATCTCCTCCTTGGAGGCAGTAGGACCTGAGTGAGCTCAGGGCAGGGCAGGGGATCCTGTTCCCACCGACTCCTTACTTGTGAGTACACGGAGGTGCAGTGTGTGCAAGATCCACAAGGCCGGGGCATGGATGGGCTGTGTCCTTCTCGGACCTCAGCTGGGCCCCTGCTGTGTGTCTCTGCAGGCCCGAATGGCGGGTGAGCGAGGAGCCAGCGCCGTCCTCTTCGACATCACTGAGGATAGGGCTGCTGCCGAGCAGGTACCCAGGGACTTCAGGGTGTTTGAGGAGGGGGCTGGACAGAGGAGGACAAAGCAACCAAGGGCTGGAGAAGCCAGGACACAGCAGCCCTTGTGGTCCCTTTTGCTCTGCAGCTGCAGCAGCCCCTGGGGCTGACTTGGCCAGTGGTGCTGATCTGGGGTCATGATGCCGAGAAGCTGATGGAGTTCGTGTACAAGAACCGGAAGGCCCACGTGAGGATTGAGCTGAAGGAGCCCCCAGCCTGGGTAAGCACTGCAGCACTAGACCCTGCCCCAGCACCCGCTCTTACCCTCGCCTTGTCTCATGGCATCGCCCACCAAAGCCCTTGGACTCCTGGAGCTGAAGAGACCTTAGAAACCCCCTAGTATAGGTTCATGCACCAGCTGTGCACCTCTGGGCAAGTTTCTGCCCTCTCTGGGCCTCATCTGCAGAAAGAATAGATTGGGCCAGCTGAGCTCGAAAGTTCCATCACCTCTGTGGTTTCATGGCACAGAGTAGCAGAGCCAGCATGAAACCCTGGGTCCCAGGACCCCCCGAACCCTGGCTGGTGTTTCTCTGCTGGCAGCGAACCTCACCCAGCTGCTCCCTGGGTAGCTCCCACCTCTCAGGGAGGGGTTCCTTTTCCCTCTTTTCCGAAGCACACGAGGCTTCCGATAGTACTTTGCACAGCTGACATCTGGAGGACCCTCTCCTACAGGTGCCCGTGAGCAGAGAGGATTCACCTAACCTCCTGCAGGCTCCTCCCACCCCACCCCCTCTGCTGGAAGACTCAAGGGGACCTTTAGCAATCTTTGTGTCCTGTGTTCCTGCCACACTGGCCGAGCGCCTTCCAGAAGTATGACCCTTTCCCTCTCTGCTCGCTCTCCCAGCCAGACTATGATGTGTGGATCCTCCTGACAGTGGTGGGCACCATCTTTGTGGTCATCCTGGCTTCAGTGCTGCGCATCCGGTGCCGCCCCCGCCACAGCAGGCCGGTGAGCAGGGTGGGCTCCCTGGTGAAGGTGGGCATGTGCTTGTGTGTGGGATGGTGGGGGGCAGGAAAGAAAAGTGGGGAAAGAAGGTGCCTTTATGGCCATGAAACAGGTGATATCTATATACATTGCATTTGACTTTGTTGATTTCCAGCAGCCTCTCTCCATAGGTTTGCTCATTCATTCATTCAACAAACACAGTGAGCTCCATCTTATGTGCCATTGTTCCAGGGATAGGGTGTGGTGCAGGGAATAAAAAAAGACAAAAGATCCCTTCTCTCGGGCGCTTTCATTCTAGTGGGACGAGACAGACAGTGAACAAAATAAATAAGTAAAATATATAGTATTTTATATGGCAGTACATGCTAGGGAAAATAATAAAATAGAAAGAGGGAGAAGGAATGCAAAGGGGAAAAAGCTAATTTTAAAAAGTGAGTCCAGGAAGCCTCATTGAGAAGATAACATTACAGGGAGGACCTTACATGGGTGGGAGGTGAGGGGGGACCTGGGCAGGTCTCCGGGGACCAAGTGAATGAATGGGCCAAACAGTAAGTGCAAAGAGCTTGAGGCGGATGCCTGCTGAAATGTCTGAGGAGCAGTGAGAAGACGGTGGGGGTGGGACGGGAGGAGCGCAGGGGCAGAGCGGAGGTGAGGCCAGTGTTCCTGAGAGCCCGGGTATGCCAGGCTGTTTCTGCCCCTGTCAGGACTTCATTCTGGCTCCAGGTGCAATGAGCCACTAGAGGGTTTTGAACAGAGTGAGTGCCATGATCTGACCGAAGTTTTAACGTGATCCCTCCTGCCGCTTTGAGGAGACTAGATTATAGGGAGGCAGGGCTGGCAACAGCGAAACCAACCAAGGTTATCACAGGAAACCAGGTGACAGGGACGGTAGCTTGGGTTAGGGAGGGAGGTTAGGAAAGTGGTGAGAATTAAATTCTCCATATATTGTGAAGGTAGTGCTAACAGGTTTACTAATAGGTTGGTCATGAAGTGTGAGACCCAGGAGTCAGGAATGGCACCAAGATTTTTGCTCTGAGCATCTAAAAGAATGGAATTGCCATTTACTGAGATGGGGAAGACTGGGGGAGGGCAGGTATGTGGTCCAGAGGGCCTAATTGGGGTTGGGGAATTCAGTTTGCGGCACATCGGGTGTTTGAGGAGGAGGCTGGACAGAGTTCAGTGTGCCAGTTAGATGTTCAAGTTAAAAGATTCAGCAGGCAGTTGGATAAAAACTTTCTCCATGGGGGCGAGGGGGCCTGGCTCACGTGGCAGAGCCATATATGAACTCGAATGGGACCAACTCTCAAAGGCAGTCAGTTGACCACACAATCCATCTGGGTGAATGGGAACTGAGTACAGCCTGGAGTCCAGGGGTCAGGGAAGAGGAGCCCGTGTCCATTCTGAGTCCTACCCTTCTTCCTAGGATCCCCTTCAGCAGCGAACAGCCTGGGCCATCAGCCAGCTGGCCACCAGGAGGTACCGGGCCAGCTGTAGAAGGCCTGGGGCTGAGTGGCCAGACTCAGGGAGCAGCTGCAGCTCAGCCCCCGTGTGTGCCATCTGCCTGGAGGAGTTCTCTGAGGGCCAGGTAAGGCAGAGCTTGCTGTTCACCTGTGTGGGCGGTGTGGGTGTTCTGGCTGCGTCTGTGTCCTTTGTATCCTGTGTGGGGCAAAGGTAGGGGACAGCCCTGGGTTTGGTTAGTTTCTTGGTCTTCTAGGGAAAGAGAACTATTACTGTTTGTTGAGTGTATTCCATGTGCCTTAGACGCATTATCCCTTTTTAGTCTCATGACCAGGAGAGGTGCAGGTAGATTAGTTTTTGATCCTCTGCACAGCAGAAAACTGTCTATTAAGAAACTCACCCAAGGTCATGCAGCTAAGTCACAAAATCCTGGTCTTCCTAATACCAAAGCTCATGCCTTTTTGAGTCCACTAGGAGGTCTTTTGCAAGTAGGTGTTAGCAAAAAGGAGAGGCCAGAGGGAGTCAGGAGGACCTTCTGGTTCCTGGACAGTCCTGTAGCTACAGATAACTTTGGTCTGGACCCCCTTGTTTTCCCCAGGAGCTACGTGTCATCTCCTGCCTCCATGAATTCCATCGTGCCTGCGTGGACCCCTGGCTGCATCAGCATCGGACTTGTCCCCTCTGCATGTTCAACATCGTAGGTAGGAGGTGGGCTGAGGTCTCCCCTGTGTGCAGGCAGGGGCAGGGGTGGGCTAGATCATGGCTTCCCTGTGGGAAAAGGTTTCATTTTGAAGCTGAGGAGAAAGCACTACCTCACAGTTCTTTAAGCCGAGCACTGTTCAGAAAGGCCTTGTCCGAGTGGGAGGGCCATTCACATTGCAGGCATCTTTATTATTCTAAAAATTGTTTGTATTTTTGTGACAACGTTGTTGATTCTACATTCAAATTTTTATATTTTTTACTCCAAGTTTCTGGCGATAGAGTATCTTATTCTAACAAAACCAGGATATTATGACAGTTTCTAAATGAGGTAAATGAAGTATCTTGAGGAAGACAGCCTTTTTCTAATTCATCCAAAAGTACAGTGTGGGCTTGCAGGGGCCCTGGGTGAAAAGCCCTAAATGACTGGTGGGCGGAGCAGGCTTGACGTGCACAATGGAATTCTTAGGGGACAACCTGACTGGAGGGAGTGAGGGCATCCCAGGGCACATGCAGGTTAGGAATGCCCTCGGTCCCCCGAACTCTGACCGAGCTCTAAGGCTATGCAGACTCAAACAGGTGTGCTGTAACCTGTCTTTCTGAACAGTGCACCTCCATAGGTTTGTGCAAACGCCTGTGCCCTTGGTTCTTTCTTCCAGAGGGAGACTCATTTTCCCAGTCCCTGGGACCCTCTCGATCTTACCAGGAGCCAGGACGAAGACTTCACCTCATCCGTCAGCATCCTGGCCATGCCCACTACCACCTCCCTGCTGCCTACCTGCTGGGCCCTTCCCGGACTTCGATGGCTAGGCCCCCACGACCTGGTCCCTTCCTACCATCCCAGGAGCCAGGCGTGGGTCCCAGGCACCACCGCTTCTCCAGGGCTGCACATCCCCTGGCTCTAGGCGAGCGGCAGCACCTAGCAGTGGGCCAGCACCCCTTTGCTCAGGGCTGGGGTCTGAGCCCCCTCCAGTGCACCTCTCAGCACACCGCCGCCTGCCCAGTGCCCCCGCGCCGGGCCAGGCCTCACGACAGCAGTGGGTCTGCAGAGAGCTACTGCACAGAACGCAGTGGCTACTTGGCAGATGGGCCAGCCAGTGACTCCAGTTCGGGACCCTGTCATGGCTCTTCAAGTGACTCAGTAGTCAACTGCACAGACATTAGCCTGCAAGGCATCCACGGCAGCAGTTCTACCTTCCGCAGCTCTCTGAGCAGTGACTTTGACCCCTTGGTATACTGCAGTCTGGAAGGGGAGGCCCAGGGGGAAGAGACTCAGCCCAGTGTGACCTCGAGGCCCCGTTCTTTGGACTCAGTGGTGCCCAGAGGGGAAGCCCAGGTTTCTAGCCACGTCCACTACCACCGCCATCGGCACCACCACTACAAAAAGCGCTTCCAGTGGCATGGCAGGAAGCCTGGTGCAGAAACTGGGGTCCTCCAGTCCAGGCCTGCTGTTCCTCGGCCACAGCCTAAGCCAGAGCCACCAGCTCCTGATCAGCAAGCTGCCAGATACAGCACAGTGGCCCCTGCAGGACAGTTCCCCAACCCCCAACGGCCCCGGGCCCTCACAGAGCCAGCCCCAACCCTGACTGATGCTTCCAGCCCCGGTCCCAGCAGTCTCTTCCACTCACAGAAATCCAGCTTCCCTGTCCGACACCCACAGAGGAAACGGCGGGGGGGTCCTGCAGAGCCTCCCCCAGCCTCTCAGCCCCAGGACTTGACTGTACACCCAGCTTGCCAAATTTTTTCCCATTATGACCCCAGCCTGGCATACCCTTGGTCTCCAGAGACCCACCCATTGATCTGTGGACCTCCTGGCCTGGACAGGAGGATGCTACCAGAAACCCCAGGCCCCTGTTACTCAAGTTCACAGCCTGTGTGGTTGTGTCTGACTCCACGCCAGCCCCTGGGACCACACCCCTCTGGGGAAGGGCCTTGCAGATGGAGCCCTGGTACCCCAGAGGGCAGGCCATGCCCTTACCCACACTGCCAGGTGCTGCCAGCCCAGCCTGGTGAGTTCTCAGGGGAAGTGGGGGGAGGAGACTAGAGCTGTATGTTGCTGAATGAGTGAAATCAGACAACAGGGGGTTGATAGAAGCTGAGAAAGGGTACAACAGGCATGACATTCAAAGCACCGAACAGCTGGCATAGCACGGGATGCTGGCTAGAGCGCCTGGCTCCGCCACGTGTTGCTTCTTGGTTGCCAGGTCATAGGGAGGTCTCAGGGGAAGTCGCAGTGCGGCTGAGACATTAGAAGGCACTTGGGGTGGTCCAGGGCAGCAGCTCAAACCGAAATGTTTCAGTATTTTAATAACTGGTACAGCTGTACCAATGCACACAGCACAGTATTAGCTTTAAATACAAGGAAGGCCAAGAAGTGTTTCTTGCGTGTGAGGAGGGCACAGAGGAGAAATAAGTACTGGTAACCATGATACCAGGGCATATGAGAAGAGCTATGTGAATGATGCAAAAAGAAAAATAGGTCATGAGTGGTCCCCAGCAACCCTGTGGGGCCTTAGGGTTTCTCCTCTCCCCTGGGGCAAAAGCACAGCTAGGCCTTCCCTTCTAAGCATTCTCGGTAATAAGATGGACCTCATTTTCTTGGGGGCCCACTGCATCCCCGTTACTGTATTACAAGCAATGATGATCATGTAACTCTTCAACTTTAACTTGGTATTTATTTGCTCAAATTCCGCTCTTCCAGAGCCTTTTACCTCCTGATCTCCCCCATCTTCTCCCTTTCTGTAGACGACACAGTTCTTTGCCTACAGCCCTCTCTCGGAGGATCCCTCTGTCCCCAAAGGAGACTCAGAAGTCTTGAAATATAAGACCTCAGAGTCTGGGAATCCTACAGGCAGGACCTGAGCTTCTATCATTTATTCATTCATTTCTTCCACCCCTCCCCCACTTTCTGAACATGTGCTGGATTCCAGGCTAGGCTCCAAGGAGATGGGACATGTCAACCGGGAGACCCAGGTCTATGGGAGACAGGCGTACAAACAGTTACAGTAGAGAAAATACAGGATGGGGCAAAAGTAGTCTCACAATTATTTGTATGGAAAAGACTACAATAATTAATAAATAACACAAGAATAAACGGTGTGTCGGGTACTCAAACCTGTACACCTACTTTTGCCCCACCCTGTAATTGGATTCACAGAGCCAGGTAATTCAGGCTGTGGCCATGCGTTTGATGGTTCTTCGTGGACCCTGTCACATGTGTGCCCTCAGTGCTGCCAGTGACAGACCACCACCTCCCCTCTCTCCCGAACTCAGAACTAGTTTCCGTGACTCCCCTTTCCCTGCTCCCCAAATCCAGTCAGCACCAGGCTCTGTTAACTGTATCTCTGTGAGCTTTATCATATTCTCCTCTAGTACTTAGAACCCCTGCCCATGTTTTACTTGGAACCCAGCAATCGAGTGCAGGACCTCCGAGCTCCGCCCTTCCCTCTTACAGGGCCCCAAGGCTGAGCACAGCACTGTTCAGTGTTGCGTCCTAGAGAGTCGTGCAGCTCGGCTACCCTGCCCCTACCCTCCGCACTGCCACCAGGGTCACCTGCCTCTGATAAGCTGTCCAGAAACCCTCAAATGTTCTGCTTTGTCCACAGTAGAGAAAAATTCAACCTGCTTTGGCCTTCAAAGCTCTAGTACCATCTAACCTCCATCTTTCTTTCCTATCTTATTTTCCACTCTTCCCCTTTTCTCCCCTTGTTTTGCTGAACTAGCTTGATGCTTCTTGCAGTTTCTGCAGCCCAGAATATTCTGCTGCCTTCCTATTCCCATAATTCTAGCTCTCACCTATTCCTAAAAACCAGCTCATTTACCTCCACTCTCAGGAAGCCCTTTCTGATTGCTCCACTTGGACCTGGTCTCTCTCCTTCCTCCATTCACCAGCCCTGTCCCATTGGCATAATTGCCTTTTGCACACAAGCTTCCCTCCTACGAGGTTGTCAGATCCCTGCTTATTCTTTTTGGTCTTCAGTTTGACACATGGTGGCAGGCCAGATTCACGAGTGCTTAATAAATATTTATTGGGTGAATAAATGAGCAACACGCTGGCTGCTATATATGTTTCTCTTCCTCTAGATTTGTTTTTCTCTCCCCTGTGTCCCTTCTGGACATACTCTCTGTGCTTCCCTCCCAGCCATACTCACTCTCCTGCAGGTGGGATACGAAAGGGGCTGCCCTGACCCTCACTGACCTCTTTCCTCCCCTTCTCTCTAAACGCAGGCTCGGAGGAGGAGCTTGAGGAACTCTGTGAACAGGCTGTGTGAGATGGTCAGGCTTCCCTCCAACCACGAGCGTGCTCTGGATGACTCGGCCCGCCCTGGCACAGAGTCCTGCTCCTAAGAGAAGAAGGAGTCTCAGAAAACACCCCTCTTTTCGCCACACTTCCTGGAACCACTAGAAGAGGAGTGGTGATGGTGGATGCCAGGGGGTGTTGTTTCCTGCTCCCAGATCCAGAGCTTGTCTGCAGAACACACCTGCGGTGCAACAAGTCCGCATCCAGCAGGGAACCAGCTGCTACCTGTGTGGGCTGGCTCCCTTGAAGGCTGTTTTTTTTTTTTTTTTTTTTGAGAGCAGGAAGCTAGGTATGGGTAGATAAGTGTTATAAAGGTGCTGCTCCTTCCCCCAGCCCCAGCAGGTCTTCCTCATCCCAAGTCTCATGTTTATACCAGCCAATGGGTCCAGCTGAATGCATGTGTGACCCCTTCTCACCTCCTTTCTTGAGTGAATCCTGCACACCAGCTTTGGCTCCTCCTTGATAAGGCTGCTGCATCAGCAGCAACCCTGGCTGTTATTTTCCTTCTTTGCAAAATGATCAAGAGCATAGGTGACCCCTGAGCCCTGACAGTCGGGAGTGGGGAGCTCTGCACTTTCTCCAAGCAGTGAACCCACCCTGGTACATAAGGGAACATGTTCTTCCCTTCTTGTCCTTAATTTTCATACACACTATGTTAAGCTAGAGGAGAGAGGCTCTGGGAAGCCAGAGTATGGAGTTCTCTCCCTGAGGTGGTACAGCACCTTGAAGAACCTGGGGCGAAGCCTCTGATCTTTAGACTCACTTATCACTCCGGCAGTCCCAATTTCTCTGGGAGTTGGGTGGAGGTAGTAGGAGGAAATAACTTCCTTGGAGATCTCCTATCTCAAAGTCCCAATGTGGGGAGAAAGAAGAGGATTTCTGTTGGCCTTCATCTAGGGAAAGGGAAGATGGAATGAAGGTAGAAAGGGCAGAATTACAGCTGACCGAGGATGACAACGAATTCTTCTCTGGGAGTTTTCTCTCAGAGCAGGGATGGGGAACAGGAAGGAATAAAGGACAAGCAGATTGGGACCCTTGAGTTTAGATGTTCCAGAGGCTCCACTTCCCAGTATAAGCCATACAGGCCAGGGACACGCAGGACGGTGTGCATGCGAGTGGAGTCGGAGCAGAAGTCTGGTCTGAATAGCTGGTACCCAGTGGGCAAGGGCTGAGGGGCCTCCTTAGGGTGACATTCACCCCAGGGCAGCTTGACCATTGCTGGCCCCTCAAGCATTATCCCATTTGGAATGTGAATGTGGGAGCAAAGTGGGCGCGGGACCCCACCTGGGAATCTTCTTCCCTTAGAGTCAGTGGGGAACTGGCACCTCGGCACCCACATGGTTATTTATATCTGAACCAGACAGAAAGACGCTTGAATCAGGCACTATGTTGAGAAATGTATTTATTTGCTAATATATTTATCCATAAATGCAGTTTGGTCTCGTGGTTTTGTTCTGTTATGACTGTGACTCAGGGTGACAACTTTGTCTTCTCCATCAACAGAAATAAATACTGATAGCAGAGGCAGGGCACTGATTTATGAAACGATAAGGGTGGATTGGTGGGCTTGGCAGCAAGAACTGGTTTGTAAGGCCCTAAAAGCATGGTTAAGTGAGATCAGGGCGGGAGACAGAATGCCTGGATTCTCACTGTGGTTCAGTCTGTATTATATTACTGTACTATTTGCTTCACACTCGAATTTATGATAACTTCAGTGACTTTTTCTGTGACCCAGGGCGAATTCTCTGTGCCCCACTTCTCCAACCATAAAATGGGTCTACTTCACAGTTGTTGCGGCACTCCACTGGGAGAAGAGGGAAAGCATGTTCCAAAGGGGAACGTGTTCAGTGACAGAGCACCTCCTAACCCCAATTGCAGAGCCCAGCCGAACACAGCACAGCACGGGAGGCGCAGGAAGCAGACCTGTCTTGAAGCAGCTCAGTCTCAATTACGGGGCCTAGTTGTGGGGACAGAACAGCGGGGCCTGAAACCGTCCATACCCCAAAGCTCCAGTCAGATAAACACGAACGTCTGTGCTCTGCCTTCCCGGGCACAGGCGCTATTGTGGTATGAAATTCCACAGGGCCCACAGGGGCCTTTGCCGTCCTCCTCAAAAAGCACATTTCCTCCTCCTGCTTCCTGGGAAAAGTTTGGTAGGGGTGGCGGTTGTCTGGTACCCAATTTTGAACCACAGAGCAGGGCAATTAGCTTTCTACGAGTAAAATGAAAAATATATAAAGGACACTTAATCCTGTACAGATGTTCTGAAATAAATCTGTTTAAATGCTAAAACCTACACAAAACATAACATCAGCTGCAACAAGGAAATGCAGGTAAAGAGTTTTAAATCATTAAATATGCATTTTTTCCACCCTGCCGTCCGCTCATAGCCCAGCATTCCTGTGGACAGCAAACGGACACCTATAATGCCCTCGGCGCAGATAGGAGGAGGGAGGGGGGCTGTTCCTGGATTTCTTTCTGCCTCTGCTCTGCAGAAATAATCCAGAGGGAGACAGTGGACTCTGACCCTGCACTGTTAAAACGCGAGAGCAAAAAAGATTCTCGGATGTCATCTGGGATCCTCCTAAGAGGACTGGCAGGCGGGACGGGGGTGGGGTGGGGTGGCGGGGAGCCTGGTGCCAGCGGTCTAGATCAAAAGGCCCGCGCTGCGGCGTGTTCGGCAAGTTCCCGCGCAGGCGCCAGGCGCACCGCTCCTCCTCCACGGGCCCGCCCACAGGCCCAACGGCTTTCCGGGCCTCGCCCTCGCGCTGGCCCAGGTGACTGGGGCGCACGCCGGGCCAGGTGACTCCCGGCCGGCCCCGCCTCCAGGCGGGAGAAACCATCTCCGAAGGAGCGGGTAGAGATGGTGCCCGCCGCCTCCCAACCGGAAGCGGAAGTCTGAGGCACCGGAAGTGGTGAGCACTCTGGGTAGTTTGTTGTTTATATTCTGCGGATGAGGCCGCAGTGGTAGTATCGCTGTTCTTCTTTCGGAGACGATGGCTTTGGAGACAGTGCCCAAGGACCTGCGGCATCTTCGGGCTTGTTTGTTGTGTTCGCTGGTCAAGGCATGAATCGGAGACCTGGTCGTAGGGGCAGTGGGGGACCAAGCTGGGGAAAGTGGGTAGAAAGGGATGTGGGAAGAAACTGCAGGAAGCCATTGTTTACATCGGTGGGAACAGATCTTGCAGCCGTAGGCACGGGCAGCCTTCCATGCCTTTGAATCTTCAACTCTTAGCACTGGCCTGATCCTTAACAGATGTTCAGTGAACTTCTGTTGGATCCGAGGGGCACTGGGAGTCAAAAAAGGGTGGGGTGGGCATCAATAGCAGTAGTTGGAGAGGGTGCCTGACCCAGAGGAGACTAGGGAAAGGAATAGGTAAAGCGCAGTTGGGAGAAAGAGAAGAAGGAACTGAGGATGAGACTTGGGGGCTGTGGGATTGGTGAGTGGGGGACCTGATGAGACTTGAGGAGACAGAGCCAACATAGGGAGCCTTCTCCTTGACCACGTAGAAGTATGGAGAAAGCTGCTTTTTCTTTTGGCCTTGTTCACGCTCACTGTCTTTCTTAAAATTTTTCTCTCGCAGACTATAGACCAGTTTGAATATGATGGTTGTGACAATTGTGATGCATACCTTCAGATGAAGGGTAACCGAGAGATGGTATACGACTGCACCAGCTCTTCCTTTGATGGGTAAGCCCCTTCCCCACCCTACACCTCCAAGTAAATGTGGGGCAGATTTTGAGACCATAATCCTGATTGATCTCAAAGTTATTTTGGGTTACACTGTCTAGTACAGTAGCCACTAGCCATTTGTGGCTTTGAGTGTGTGAAATGTGGCTAGTCCAAATTGAGATATGCTTTAAGTGTAAAATACACACCGGATCTCAAAGACAGCACAAGAAAAAGAATGCGAAATACCTTTTTTTTTGTATTAATTACATGCCAGAGTGAAAATACTTTGGCTATATTGGGTTAAGTAAAATAAGTTATTGGAATTAATTTTACCTTTTTGTCTTTACTGTTTTAAGTATGGCTACTAGAAAATCTAAAAGAACTTGTATGGCTTCCATTATATTTCCACTGGGCATTTCTCCACTGGACTGTCAGCTCATTGCTGTTGGTAGGGCCTACAGCACCAGGACCTAGCGCAGGGCCTGGAAGGTCATGGATACTTAGTAAATGTTTGTTGAATGGGGGAGAAGGGAAGGGAAGATACAGTGATGTTAAATCATTGCCCCAAGCTGATGGTTGTAGATATCTCTGAGGGCCCTATCTGAAAAGTTGATCCTTATCCGGATTGTCTAGTGGGGAAAAGAGGAAATGAGATAAACATAAGTGGCCAGGTCTCAATTTTCCTTTCTAGGATAAAAGCCCAAGGGCAGTGTTCTTTAGGGGTTAAGAAGGTACTGTTGTTTCTTTTGCCCGTAGGCCAATTAAGGGTTTACACACAAACTGGGCTCTAACCAGTACTTGCTAAAGTTTTTCAAGGTGAGCCAACTTGATTTCTTCTTTAATTTCTTTTAAGGAAAAATAAAGGATTGGTCAAAAAAAGAATGTCGTAGAACTTCCTACATACAAGTATGCATACTAGATAATGTAGTGCCTTTGTTCATTTGTTATTACTGTTTAAAAAGGGAGGGGGCAAAATGGAGTCACTTTTGCTAAGCCATGGCACCAAACACAAACTTAATAAGCAACCTAATCAATGTTTCGGTCAGTCCTGAGTTTCCTCTCCTAGAACTGTTGTGCTGGCTGGGGACAGAGTAGAGGGTGCTTCCCAATCTTTCTCTTCTCTGGCTGAGTATTTCTTTTCCCTTCCTAGAATCATTGCTATGATGAGTCCAGAGGACAGCTGGGTCTCCAAGTGGCAGCGAGTCAGTAAGTAGCTCCCTTCCTCCTTATCCTGGGCTGGTGGTGGTAGTGTCTCTTAGTGTGGCTGGGGGAGTCTTAAGTCACTGGGTAAGTGGCCTTGAGTGAGAAAGATTGGGCTGTAGGACAGATAAGGAAAGTATCCTGGTCCTGTCATTTAATATTTGTAGCCAGAAGGAGCGATTGTTTTTATTTTGGAGTTGAAGCACTTAAAAAATTTTTTTAGCTTAAGCCTCCAATTGGTCGTTAGTCTTAACTCACTGTCACTGCAATCTCTTTTCTTTTTCAGGTAACTTTAAGCCTGGTGTGTATGCAGTGTCAGTCACTGGTCGCCTGCCCCAAGGTAATAATGGTCATAATAACCACCGATGTTTGTTTACTGCACCTACTCTGTGGAAGTCCTTTATGTGAACTAATCACTGGTCCTCACAAACTCGGAGGAAACCCAGGCACAGAGAAGTTAAATAACTTGCCCAAAGTTACCCAGCTAGTATGTGAGGAGGCAGAATTTGAACCCAGGCATTCTAACTCCAGAGTCCTTGCTTTGACAACTACAGTGAGCCTCATTCTCTTCCCATTATTACAAAGTCCTTGCCTGGATCCTCAGTGTTAATGAGGCAGCCAAGCAGGACTTTCGACGTGCAGTCTAGAAATTCCCTTCTCCCTGCAAAGTGGTAGCGGATGGACCTTTCTTACCCTCTTCACCCACAGAGCTGTTTTCTTTCTCTGCCACAGGAATCGTGCGGGAGCTGAAAAGTCGAGGAGTTGCCTACAAATCCAGAGACACAGCTATAAAGACCTAGCAAGATGCGTGGCTGCCAGCATCTTTGCCGCCGCCTCCTGCCTCTGCTTATTTATTGTGAAACTAAATGGACAACTTCAAATACTCCTCACTCCAATTCTGAGGCTCAGCAGACTATTGAGAGAAGAACAGCACAGCGTGTTCCTGGGCCTTTTTAGCTTCTTTTACCTTCTTTGGACCAGTAGTGGGGGGTGGCAGTGGCGTGGGTAGAGTGAATTGAATGTGGAGTAAGAGGCTGTTTTTCCTACCCACAGCCCTGGGCTGCCTCCTTGCCCATGGGCAGGACTGTATCGAATGCCAATAAACATGAACCCAAAGCCCGTGACAGATGCCTTGCCTCCTCCTGTTCTCTTAGCTGGGCACAGGAAGAACTCACTTGCCTTTTAAGCATCTTCCCAGAGCAACAGCGGCCCCTGCCATCTCTGCACCTCAAGGGTTGCAGCCTTTGCAGGTGCTTCCTTAGGTCTCCCTGGGCGGTCTGCTGTCCCGAGCCCGGGCATCCCCATTACCCTGGTAGTTCCGGTGTCTGGAGGTTGCCACCTCCTGTCCTCCAGACCTGGCACAGCACACCTAGACTTAATTTTCTGAGACTTAATACACTGTGCCACTTGACCTCGTTTCGTATTTTTATTTTTCCTTTCTTCTTTTTACTGTTCTTCCTATAACTTAGGCTTGCCAGTGGCACCTGTGACCTCCCCTTCCCCCCGTTACCCTCATTCTACCCCATTTCCCTAACCGGAGG